GGTTTATTGTACAAAGTCAGTACAATAAGAATAAAGGTAACAGTTATGCACAGGGTCATTGCAAGTCAATCCAGTTGTGAGTGCTATTATTAGAAGGTCGGTAGTTCTCACGTAAATCTGAGTCGTATTCAACAGATCCCAGTCAGTGAATATTTACTAACCTCCCCGCATGATCAGATGTGGCACAGGGCCGAATTTAATGTGGAGTTCCTGAGCCCATAGGCTTGGTCAAAAAATCCCCATAGACCCTGAATAAATGGGATTGTGTCGGTCTACCTCCCCAAACTAGACTCTACCACTTTGGCATAGCCACGTCGGGGTTCTTCTCTGCCCGAAAGCAGAAAGTTCGACCAGCATAGCTGGAAAAGATTCCTGCCAACTGCCCAATGCAGTCACATGTGGCACAAGGCCAAATCTAATGTGGGGTTCCCAAGCCCATAGGCTTGGCCAAAAAATTCCCATAGACCCTGCATAAACGGGATTGGGTCTGTCTACCTACCTGAATGAGACTCTGCCCTTCGGCATAGCCTCATCTGGATTCCTCTCTGCTCAGAAGTAGGGAGTTCAACCAGTACAGCTTAAAAAGATTCCTGCTAGACAATATTTACTAACCCCCATTTCCATGGGGGTAGATGTGGCACAAGGCCAAGTTTAATGTGGGTTTTCCGAGCCCATAGGCTCAGCCAAAAAATCCCCATAGATCCCGCATAAATGTTATTGGGTTGGTCAACCTCCCTGAACAAGGCTCTGCCTTTCGGCATAGCCTCGTCCGGGTTCCTCTCTGCTCAGAGGCAGAGAGTTTGACCTGCTAGCCAAAAAAGATTTTGGCTAGACTCTGTAGTCCGTTGACTTACTGATACTTATAGTTAGTTACTACCTATAGTGTAGTTACTCATGGGGGTTACAGGTTATTCCATTACATCAATGAACTTAAAATGATTCTCTGAATATATCTTGATACCACCATTGACTTTCAAAGAACCTATAATTTTACTGTTTACAATACTAGCCTAAAACATTACTCTACCTCCCCAACCTCTGCTATCTTGTCAGTTATCTTGGTTGACTATTTCTATAAAAGATTCAATACTACTCTACATTCATCACTAGAAATGACTGTTGAGAAATCAGTTTTCATATATTTCTTTGTCTAACTTATACATTTCCCTTTGTAGTGTTTTGTTTATTTCACTTCTGTTGGGGATGATTATTTATTGTGTTGATAGTACACAATTGTGCCACAAGGTTGAAGAGGAAATTGGCTAAGGCTGGTCAACATTAACTATCCTAAATCTAGCTAATCAGATTTGTGACCCATTCATTCATTACAATTTTCTCATTCACCACAAGAACACATCCATCAACCTTCAATCCTACATGTACCACAATACCACATCTTTACAGATAACCTACAAAACATACCATGACATAAAAATTTTTTGATAATGTTCAAGTGTCTCTTTTTTCTTTTTTTTTCTTTTTTTATATAAAAACATATAAAAATTTTATGAACATGAAATGATGGGGGAGGGGAAGAACCCAAAAAACAAAACTAAAATTTAACAAAACATTCAGAATAACAAATATTAGTAGGATCCATCAAAAATAATAAGAGCAGCTGGTGTATTCTGCCTAGAGACAGAATCAAGAAGCACATTCACTAATGGAGAGGGTTGTAAGAAATAAATGACGGAGTGGGAAAATTAAAGACTGACCCAGTAAAAATAAAAAAAAAAACAGGGGAAAAACTAACTAGGGAGGTTGGGAATCTCGATTTAAATCATAACAAAAGAGAATGCTGGGAACAACACTTACTCACATTAACTAGGCAAACAAATAAAAAAGGAGAGGGTTCACAGGAAACCATCCCATTACGTCAAAGGGAACTTAAAAAAAGAAAATTAAGGCTAGCTCTGTTCACATGAACCAGGCTCATAACATTTACTCAGCTTTTGCTGAAACCTGTCAATAATAAACATTTTCTATCAGTTCTAATCTTCATCTTGAGCTGATGCCCAAAAATCCAATCAGATCCTGATGAGAATAGCATTCATATCGCAAGATTCCCTCCATCTACGACGCCCACACCACCATTCTTGCCATAGCTAGCATTGTCAGAGATACCCCAGAGAATGAGAGTGACACATTATTGCTCGTGTATGTGAGATCAATGGACATGAGATGTTTGGAATCAATATGAGCTGTCAACTTGCTAACATAGTACCAGAACAGCCGCACTTGTGGACAATGGTAGAAGGCATGCGAAGCCGTTTCCTCTAAACCAAGTTCACACCAATGACAGTTGGGCAGTTCCACCCAGCCCCCTCTGAAGGCTATGTCATTGAGCGATAGCACATTCTAAATCAATTGCCAGGTAAGTGAAAACTCAGACTTGCTGAGATAATCAGCTGCTGGCACACAAGTCCAGAAAGAGTGCAACTCAGATGCCGACAAGCTGAGCTGGCTACAGAGAGAATCCTTCATGACTCCCTCCACTAGTTCATGATACAATAGCCTACAAGGACTGAGGAATGACCTTCAAGGCTGCCTGACATTCTTGGCAGAATTTCAACTGATTTTGGGGCTTACAATGGCACTCAGCCCTAGAAATGGGAGGAGTGATGATAAGGCTAGGGAAGGCGTCCTTAACTCTCCCCTCTAAGATCTAGTCCTCTGTCAATACACAATATCAACCATGATGTGTCATCAAGTGCAGCATTCCCAGCTCCCCCCATCCCATGGCACAGATGTTGTGCAATGACCCTTCTGCAGACCTGATGTTTGCAACCACCTCACAAGAGGAAGGACAGCAAGCCCTCAAGTGCCTTCACACAGTCCTTGCAGAGAGGAAGTATAGACAATCGATAAAGGATAAGTGGAAAGACCTAAGTGGCACATGCCTCAGCCCTACACTTTATCTACAACTACAGACTGCCACTCCACTTCCATGCACCTAAGTGCAATTCAGAAGACTTGTTGCGGTTAATATCGGCCCCTGTCACATTCTCATACTGTTCAAGCGCATTTTGTACCACCTCAATGTTGCTGTCTCACAACACAAAAATGGATATGTCATCAGAGTACAGGGAAACCCTGGATTGAGAAACTCCAGGGACAGTGATTCCATATGGGGCCAGACTGCATACTCTGTCCATCACTATTCTAGAAAGTATTAAATGAACATTATCTATTCCTTTTTGTATTGTACAAACACTTTTTTTTCACCCAAATGGATAAATAGTATTTATTTCTATTAAATCAAGTACAGTTAATTATATGAAAAGTATGTTTATTCATTATTTGGAAATACAATAAATTAAAAATTTGTATGTGTACAAAGATTTGTTTCCCCACTGTTTTATATATATATATATATATATATATATATATATATATATATATATATATAGAAAACAGTTTAAAATAAAAAACTTTATTTGAAGTAATATATATATATATATATATATATATATATAAAAATATATATATTACTTCAAATATATATATATATATATATATATATATTTTTTATTTTGAACTGTGCATATTACATCTATCAGCTGGCTTGTACATTTGAAAAACTTGTCTTCCAGAAAGGGAACACAGGTTCAAGCCCTGCTGGAGAACACATCTATTTTATGAAATTTTCTGTTATTAAATCTTTTAGAATATATATATATATATATATATATATATATATATATAGTACACACACACAGAATAAGAGAAACAGTGTGGACACAGAAATCTACACTATATAGTGACTGGCAGTTTCAAACCCTATGCAATCTTCAGGCCATTTTCTGAAGATTGCATTGAAGCTTGAAACAGACAGTCACAATCCAGTGTTGATTCCTATGTCCAAACTTTCTGTTTCTTCAAGTGTTGGATCTCTAAAATTGAGCATTCTTCCTCATAATATACCAAATTTTAAACATAAATATATATATATATATATATATATATATATATATATATATATATATAGAAAAAGTTTCAAATTAAAAAATAATAATGTTTTATTTTATGAAAGTATTTATTTATTTATATATATATTTGATATTTCAAATTGTCCTCAATTTTTCATCAGAAATAACTGTTTGTTACAAATAAATTAAAATTACTGTTTGTTAGCAAGTAGCATCCTTCACGAGACGCAGACGTCACATGATATGGAACATCACTGTTCGGATATTACTAACTTAAATCTAACTGTCATAAATATTTTAAATGTTGTATCCTGATATTGGTGTTGGGTACAGAAAATATATTAGCTATTATTAAATGTTTGCAAACTAAGCAACGAGGTTTGTTACATTTGTAATTTCCTGATTGGTTTTTATTGTTTAAATATTTGGTAGGGTGAGGATAGCTGATAGGTTAGGTGATTTTTTTTGCATTTATGGGTGGTTTATCGAAAATGTTTTGATCTTGTTGTCTAATTGGAGGTTCTTGTAATCGTTTTTTAAACTGTGAATAAGTGTGTGGGAATATTGATTGTGGTTACAACCACCTAAACTCACTACATATTAAGAAAGTATACGTGGCTTCTCATTATGCTATATATATATATATATATATATATATATATAATTTAAAACATTGTGTATATATATATATATATATTTTCTAACATCTTTCATTGAATATATAGATATTGCGTTTAATTTTTTTATACTGATCTTTTCCAGTAATTTTACCCCTGAATATGATCTTGGAAAAGATAGAAAATACTTGAGTTAGAAAAAACTGGAAAAGATCAGTATAAAATAGAGAGACACAATATATCTATATTATTCAATGAAACATATTTGAATGAAGGTATAAATCTATATATATATATATATATATATATATATATATATATATATATATATTCTCATCACATTGATAGTGTATCAATGACTGCAAAATTGGATGTTAAATTTTGTGGTTGTTTTTCTTGGTCGAAATAGAGTCACTTCCTTGTTCCACTGATATTTGTGTATTAAATATGTGAAATGAAATTTGTAGCTTCATTTTCTCAGCATCAAACCCATTTCTCTCTCTCTCTCTCTCTCTCTCTCTTTCTTAACAAACTCCAATTAATTCTGTTAATTGATTTATTACTTTACATTCCTTTCCCCTTTTGATCACAATGACAAAATTAGAAAAATGTTTTGTTGCTTAATTCTCATTTGCTTTTTCAATTACTAATTAATTGTTTTGCTAATTTATTTCTAATGCAAAACATGAAAAGTTCACTCGGCAAAACTTCTATTGATTTACACTTACTTATCCAGTCACCAGATATGGGAAATTAATTAAAAGTCTAGTAATTATATTAGAAAAAATTTGCAAATAATTTTACCATGAATAAGATTTTGTAATGTCAATTGTTTTTAGTTCTTTTACGAAAAGAAAAATGAAGACAAAAGAATGCAAAAACCAATTTAGATATTTTTTTAATTATTTAAAATTTAAAAAATTAAATTTTTCAATGCACCATTTAACATTTTAGATACTGTTTTTGTTATAGATATTATTTGTTATAAATGTATAGAATCTTTTTGTTTATATTTAATTAATGGATATATTTTTAATCCAATATTATTTCAACACTCTTTAACCTCTGTGTTCACAATAAAATGGTGTGTCAAAAAGATGGTTTTCCCCTTGTATTTTTAACTACTTTCATCCCTTTGGCAATGTTTGTGGTTTTAAAAAGTGATGATTAGAATTTTAATAAAACCTAAACATTTTATTTGAGAATTTACAACAAAAATATTAAAGACTATTTATATATTAAGATTGTTTATTTAAAAGAACAATTTTAGATTTACAACATTCTAAAAATGTGAGCCTTAAAAATGTGAACTAACTAATACAATGAAATGTACCATATATACTTGTGCAATGAGTGATGTTTATTTTAAATACAGCTGTACTTTTTGATTACAGTAAATGGATATATAGTCTGGTCAATGGCATAGCCAGGGAAGCAGTACATATGCTAATTTTATATCTCATGTATAATGCAACCACCTTAAAATTAGCTTCAAAATTAGGTCTTCAAAACATGATACGCAAGTTCAGTATATCATTTATCAATTTATAAAGAAATAAATATTTTTATATTATATATTTATATTTTATATTAAATATATTCCTTTTGTCCTCAAGGACACATAGCACAGTGGATAAAGGTGTTGGTTAGATCCAGTGTGAGTTCAATACCCAATTAAGGCAGTGGAGAACTTTCAAAGAGAAAATTAACAGGAGAGAACTGATAACTGACATCCACTAGACATGGCATGTGGAACTAGAACAGTCTACCCCAGTGAGCGAAATAAAGGGTTCAGTTCATGACATTTTAAACCACCTGAAGAAAATGTGGCGTACAATGACCAAAACGTTGTAATAAATATGGTGACAAAGATGAGGACAATAGTCTGAATAATGTAAATAATGTACATAATACCTCATCTCAGAAATATAGACAAATATTTTTTTGCATAAGTCATTGATATTTTTATAAAATTATGAATAAAAAACTTCCTTTCATAGTTATTTATAAAATGGTAAATAATAAATTTTACATTGTAGATGGTTTACACATTTTGATAATTTTATAATTTTAAAAATATTTTTGAATAAAAAAATTTCTTTCCACATTTATTTCTTTATAAAATGATAAATAATAAATTTTTTTCAAAGGTAAATAATAAATATTGCATTATACTTGGTTCACACATTTTTATAATCTTGTAAATAAATGTTACTGAGAGATTGAAGGTAGTACAAAATATTACCGGTGTCAAGGGAAAACAGACATCCTGATGGCACACCATTTTTTTTGAGGGCACAGAGGCTAAAGTTTGCTATTATTTCTTAAAACTAAGATTATTTTTAGAGGTTACACATGTTTCAATAGACGTACCTGTTTTGTTATTTTAAACTGTGAAATAGTATAGTATTTCCACTACTGCCCAAAGAAATAATGAAGAAGAAAAAAAAATGGAAATCCAATTGAATTATATGATGAAGAAAAAATCTTTATTACTAACCAACTAAACAAGGGTGATTGCAAAAATTCGTCCCTTCTTGCTAAGAATCGGATAGCCTATTCTCTGATTAACAAAAGGTTAAAAAAAAATACCAGAGAAACAAAACTTAAAAAAATTACAGTGCACAACACAAAATAATAAAAGATTGATCCCGCCTGCTGCGTAAATGATAACAAAAAAGAGGCTTTGTTCTACAGTACACACTTTCTGTCCTTTCAACGTTCAAAAGTTCTTTATATATTTTTCTTTTCTTTCTTTTGGAAACAAAGTTGTCTTTTCTTTGGTCACCAAGCTCCCTTTTTTTCTTATTATTTTCTTCCCATCCGAATGGAAAGTTCATCTTTCTTATACTACACGGCCAAGGAAGGGGAAAACTTCTTAAAACATGCGGTAGTACAACTTGTAACAGCACATGTTAGCTTCTTCTTCTTCACTGTAAATGCCTTTAGCCCCA